GAGGCTGTGTGTGTGTCTGTATGCTCGCACTTTTTGTCACCCACTTTCAACTCGAGAACAAGAAAAGCTAGAAGGCTGAAACTTTGGGAGTATGTGCCCATTCCATGCGCGACCCTCCCTTTTTAATTTCACCCCCTTGGACGCCTGGGTGCCACGTACGGAAGCCTTAGAAAAATATGCAAATTTTTTGGCAGGAAAGCGATCTCGGGAACCAGACAAAGCAAGGGGTTGAAACTTTGTAGGGATATTCCCTGTGCATATGTAAGCTAATGATTTCAAATTTATTTCTGATTTCAGTGATAAAGCCAACCTGTAGAACAACTTCTTCAATTTGACCCATACCAATTTTCTCTTCCAGTTGCCGAATATCTGATTCCTGAAGTGCGTAAATAAATCACCGCCACGGTTAGGAACGAATGAAAGCTGAATGTTTTCGAAAAATTTATTAGTTTTCCTAATAAATTTGTTCCAAGAACCAATTTTGAATTCGTATATTAAATTTCACTTTCAACATCACCGCCCCAAATTATTGCAGCATTTTCCCTGTTACCTTTTTTTCTGTTTTTTTCTAAAATTTATTTAAATTATACATTTACTTCATGTCAGTAGTGCTTTAATACAAGTAAGAACATTTTATAAAATATATATTTCCAATTAACATTCATTACACGATTTAATCTTAACATCTACTAACTTCAATACCATAGTCGTCGTACAGACGAAGTCAGTTGTGGTAATGGCAAGAAATGTATACGACTTAATGGACCGAAACATTTCTTACTATTAAAATAATTTTATTAATTTACAAATTTTGTAGTTCTCATCTCTTCCTTTCCGTTCATCTCTCTTCATCCGTTTTTAACATTAAAGGTTCAAGAGAAAATATCAAGGAAGAAAGAAAACAAAGAAAACGAAAAAAAAGGGTAGAAAGATGGGAAAGGGGACTGAGGAAATATTTGTAACAGATAAGAAATGTTTCGGTCCAATATACCTCCCTATTAATATACCTTCTTATTAAAAGTACCACTGTCCTCCTGCTACCCTCACATACAAAAATACGAGAAAATTTCAATGATTAACCTCTTTTACTAAAGCGATCCTCTTTTTCACCAAATTTTCCGTATATCTTCTGTAAGCTGAATGCTTGGGAATCTGCTCCAGCACTTGCATTAGACGTCCGTATTCTTTCAGCAAGCTTTTGTGAGCATATTCGTCAACAAATAAGCCAGTTTGTCCGGTTGTCTGAAAAAAAAGAACGTCTAAAATTCAAATCTGCCTCAAATTAAGAAAAAAAAAATTGGCCAGCTCATCGATTACTGGTGCAAAGATGCGTTTTTGCACAGTTTTTCTTGCTAACGGCACTGGTTTTTTCGGCAAATCAAGCAACATTTTTGCCCGATGCACTTTTGTGGCACGCCATTCATCAGCGCATCAGGTTATTTTCATATACGATTACGAAGAGACATTTGAAATATTTCTCCCAGCGTTCGCTGCTCTGCTTTCGTCAGTGATCACGTTTCGCATTCGTACAGCACTGTCTTTGGCAGTGTCACTGAAGAGGTGGACACGGTCTTTTTTCTACCGATACTTTTAGGAAATCGACGATGCTGTGAAATTTGCACCAATCGGCAGCTTTCTTGTCGAGGGAACGTTCAAAATTCTTAGCTTCTTAGTTCCCATAGTTTCGTTGTAAATGATCTGTGCACAAACACACACACACACATACATACACACAGGTACACACATACATACCAAACACTTACATACATAACAAAAAACAAAGGAATACGATGAAGGCAAACAAAAAAAAAGTATCACATAAATTTACCTGTTTATGAAAAGTGGGCGGCGGTGGTTTCTTGGGTTTGTACAGTTTTGTATACGGATTTTCGTACATCATCCGGACAGCGCACTTCAAAACACTGGCTTGCAAGGCGGTTTCACGTCGTAGGCATACGCTTACAAGTGCCATTTGAAATCTGAAATTAAAAGTTATTAAGAAAAATTTTTTTTCGCTTTTATTTGCAAATTAACTTTTAAAAATCTAAAATTTTCACTGTATGAAATATGTAAATAATTGCCAATGTACGGACTGTCCATGCGAATATGCATTTTTTGCACAGTTCCCTGCAGATTTTTGTCGATAACGGCACTGTTTTTCCGGCAGATGCTTTCAGCGAAAAGAATTTCAGACTGGCCGCCAGGACTGCCAGGAAACATCCCTTCAAAATTCCAGTCTTCCAGCTTTCCAGGTTCCCGAATTAGCAACTTAATCGAAAGAATTTTCACAGGTCCGTACGTGGGAACCACGCGGGCAGGGGAGCCCATTTTCTGGGGCTCGTACGTGCCTGGAGATCAAGTTCCCAAAGTTTCAGCCCTGCAACTTTTATAGGTCTTAAGATGAAAAATCCGTAGAGACGCACACACAGACACACGGACACAGACAACCCCCCGTCAATATGCGTTTTTTGTATTCCCTGTCCAAGTACAACATAAGTGTTTTAGATTCCACTTCCAGCTATGCATTGTACTCACGTAAGGCGTATGGAATTTTCTGCGGTAAAATTACTAACTCGGGTACCAGAAAAGCTAGAAAGCTGAAATTTCGAGGGAATGTTCCTCATTCAAGTACAACTCAAATATTTCAAAATGAGCCCCGAATTATGCGTGGTACTCACGTAAGGGCGTATAAAGCGTTCTGCGGGGAAATTACTAACTCGACAACCAGAAAAGCTGGAAGGCTGAAATTTTGGGGGAATATTCTTTGTCCAAATACAACTCAAATATTTCAAATTCAGCCCCCAGCTATGCATTGCATAAGGGCGTATGAAATTTTCTGCGGCAAATTACTAATTCGGGAACCAGAAAAGCTAGAAAGCTGAAATTTTAGGGA